TCTTTTTGTTTCCACAAACTAACTAACTCGAGAATAAAGCAGCTAAATCGATCAAGCAATAGGAGTGAAAGCAAGAGCGTCTAAGGCTAGGGGCCCGAGAGGCTGAAGACGGAGTTCTCTATCTTTCTATTGCTGTAAATCCAACTCAACCTTTGATTGAAGGTTGGTTTCTATGACTTCTCTTCTCTGATAGTTCATTCCATCTATGCTAAGTGTACTAGTTCCTGTATTCAACGTAAAGTAAACTCTTTCATCTCTTATTGCTCCAGCTCCTAAGGAATGAGATTAGCTCAACTTCGTCGACCCTGATTGACTTTTAGTTACTGAAAGCGCTGATGAACGATCTTCCTTATTTTAGGATGCAACTCGGATTCCTCCTTCACGGCTTGAAGCCGGATAGCTTGAAGCTTAAGGGCTCTCGGAATTCCCTTTCAAGCTTTCTCGAGTCACCCTAACGTAACGGCTAAGAGAACTTGGCTAACTTCGATCAATTCCACGACTTTCCATCCTTCTTGTGAGAGTTTCAGATTAAGGGGATGCGAGTCATCAGTTCTTTCCTCTGCGTCTAGGCTTTAGGCCTGATAGTTCATTCTCGAGGATCACTGAACTTGGCTTACTTCTTACTGAATGCCGTACTTAGAGTTATCCCACTCGGGGTGAGCTCTTAGCGATTAGTCAGTCCGGGTCCAGCTAGTCTTGCACTTTCAGACCGGTCCTTCACAAACAAAGGCTTAGTAAGCACAGATTCCCTATAAAGAAAAATTTCCTCTCAATTACATCGATCCAACTTTAGAAGCGAAGTTCAGTCATAGAGGCAGTCGAGATCTTTAAACCTTAGCACTCACTTCACACAAAGTATATATCTATCTCTCTCCCAACTTTAGAAGCGAAGTGAAGTAATAGAAGAAGTCTTCCATTCGAGAAGAATCATGTGCTTTTACTTGACTTGATCTTGATTGTACCTCTTTTGAGGCTCTTTAATCAGCTTGGAAGTCTCTTTGCAGTCCGTAAAAGTGGAATCTTACCTATGTCCCATCAGCCTAAAATGGTTGCTCTTTCCTCACTAGTCTCACTTATTCAATTAGCTTCTCTCATTTGAGAGTTTCTTTCTAGGACATCATCAACTAAGCATCAGTTTGATGCCGTCTACCAGTCCAAGGTAGGGTAGTCAGTCTGTCTAGCAGTCCAAAAAGCAGTATATCATTCCGGGTCTAATCCTTCTAATCCTATCGGGTGCCGGTCAAGTCTTCCAATCTCTCCGTCTAAGATTACGTCTAGTATCCCGTACTCTCATTCGATTCGGTACATCTCTTTTTTTTCCCTATAGCCCTCTCGTCTAAGGCCAAGGAGAAAGATATTCCCTTTTAGGGAAAGGAAGCTCTCACGGGTTCGATAAAAAGCAAATAACTTATTTCCCACTTCGTCCCGATCTTGAACCTGACCTCCAACAAAAAAAGTACGACCTCGCTGCTTGCCGTTTCCTTTCCTTTTGTTCTTGCTTGCTTAGAAAAGATGAAGCACCTTTTTCATTAGTCTACTAAGATGGACTCTCTGGATTTCACTTAAGCTCTTTCGGGATTTCTTTACTTTGGATTCAAGTTCCCGCTGGTTCAGTAGACGATAGAAGATAGAGGATCACATTCGTTCTTGAGACCTCGTCTTCACGAGGTCAATTATATCGAGCCTGCACCCGTGCCAGGACTTGGGATAGGCTTGGTTTATGCTTGATCTCTTGAATCAATGCCCGTGAGTTGAGTCACATGAGATCTTGTTTTTTCAGTCAGTGTTCGGTACTACTTCCCAGGGCAGCTGGTTCAGATGAACTTCCCTTTGATAAGGATTCCGCCCCCGATCTCGAAACTCTCAGATTTTTTGAAACATCTACCCTGAAGAGAGAACCAGATCCCAGCTTTTCCCACTTTGTGACACATTAGATTGATTCCGCCAGAGTGAGATCACACTACCCTTTCCGGATCCTACTTTAAAAGAAAAGTAGAGCAGAGAAATGGTACCTGGAATGGGCGAAAACGTTCTATCAAACCAGAGTCTTTCTGTCCTGGAAGTCCAGCCCTTGGCTACACCCCACTCCATAGACAGTACTATATTCTTAATCCGGATATGCAAGGATAAGGATTCGAACTGATGTACCAAAAACCATACCTCTTAGTTCGATACCATACATTATCGACCTTTGGTATGGACTTACGCTCCTAGTTCGCCTCTTGGTTCTGAAATAGCTCTAATAAAGGATCATCTTTTCTGGACTCTTCCGAGCCCCTAGCTAAGAAAGGATTTGGAAAAGAAGCTCTTTATTCGCCTAAGACCAAGATGTGGCGGATTAAGTCCCATGTCTCCAGGCAAGTCAAGACCAATGGTAGCAGATATCGAATTCCTTGAAGATCGGGAAGACTAAGCGGATAGGGATCCATCCGTTTCGGATAATGAACCACGGATCCCATTCCCATAACTAGTAACCGATGCCTTACCCCTTGCGACTCCCCATAAAGACCATGAAAGCGGGAGAAAAGGAAGTAGGCTAGGTCGGGATCAATGCAATGTCCAGGTTCTAAACGAGTAAATAAGCTAAGAAAAGTGGGTCCATAATCTTCTCAGTGAGTGAGATTTTTAAAGAGGGTCTTCTTTCAGGGAAGCGATCTAATCTCCTAATAATGGGAGTTAGATTACTAATCAAAGATGTTTCGGCATATTCTCTAGAAAGAAAAGTGGAATCTCACAAGGATAATTAATGCTTGAAAAGGACGAAAATCCAGGATCAAAGCGCTCTTCTATTCAAGGAAAACGTTCGGAGAGTCAGGTAGTTACGATGGGGAGATCTATGGAAGAGATTTCATAATTATTTTCCTATGGGATGAAGCTTTCCTAGTCTCAAGTCTTCATCTCAGAGGTAATTTTAGCATGGTTTGAAGGACTTGGCTTTCGGTATCGGGCTACTGGGTTTTTTCCCAGGTTATGCCATAATCCTATCAAACTTCAAACGTGTGTCGATCGAACTATTTTCTTTCTCGATGGCTATATTCTTAACACACTTGTTTCGTTCGAGTTGTAGCTTATGGGAAGAAAAGGGCAAAGGGGTTTCCAAAAATATTAATGATTTAATAGCTCTTCCTCAATTACATCGACCCTGGCTATGCTTACGAGTTGACTAGCGGTTTCCGAGTCAAATAGCTGGACTGCCATAAAAGAACCTTGATTGATTCCTCAACTTCGTCGATCCTACTATACTGAAACTCCTGGTTGCCGCGAGGCTTCCAATCACTCTAACGAATCCATCATATAAGAATATGCTCAAGGGTCTCTCTTTTGCTGATTGAAGAAGGTAGAAACCTTCCTTTCACCATTTTTTCCTTCACTTCGCTTCGCTTCTAAAGTTGGGAGAAGAATTGGCGGGATAGAGTAATTGGTTAACTCATCAGGCTCAGCGGGGGTCAACAGAAAGTAAACTCGCTTCAGAAGGCTGGAGGCTCGATGTAATTGACCTAAATGCAGGGGGTCTCATGCATTCCAAGTAGCTGAAAAGTGGCAACTTGGATGTTTGAAAGACCCGCCTCGCTCGGTTTTTTAAGAGTATAAAAGGTTTTGTAAAATTCGCTTTTATTTTTGTCCTATCACTTGTATTTAGAGTAAGGGCTTAGTCTCCTATCTTCTAATAATGTCTATCACAGTATAGGCGGCGAAGGCCTGGAAACGGCGCATTTCAAATCCTTTCTTTGGCCTTTAATCATATTAGGTAGGTGCTATAAGAATGTATAAACCAGGCGAGCGTTAGGCTAGAGGGCCCTTTCACTTCCTTCCCTTTTCTAAGGCCTCTTACATCTATCTGAAATAGTTTATTCCTGTAACAAGTTGTCTTTTAAAGTGTCTTTCTTAAATACTTAAATATATACATACTATAGAATCACATCGGAGGAAGGCAGTTCTTCTCGGTAGAGGAGTAGCCCTGTCGAAGGAGCCAGCACGGTATTGCATTAAATAAATAGAAAAAAGACCGGTGGCCCTGCTCTTCTCCTAAAGGACAGTATCCACCTAAAAAAAGAAAGGTGGCAATACAGCGTTCTTTTCTGAGTCGACCGCAGGCAGGTGCATAACTGGATCTTCGGAAAGATGCAAATTATGCGCCTCGAGACTTCCAAGCCAAGAGAATCCTTCGGGTCAGCAGGGGCGATCCATTTACCCGGATAATTTTTTGCGAGTTTTTTACGATTACTTTTTTTCACCTAACGGCCTGAATAACCCACGGAGCGGTGGAATGGAACTCGATTTACTGTCGAGACTTTCTGTCAAAAGAAGGGACTCTTCCTTGGATTTGAGATCTTGTACCCTATGTAAGCTTGCTGATATCTATAGAAGGATTCCCCTCTCCAAGCTGAACTACTACCGGAAACACTGCTGACCTATTCACTACCAAGATTGACCTGAGTATCCGCCTTCATGCTTACACGTCCCCTTCATTCTCGTTGGTCCTTCCATCTCTGTTCTTTTTACTCACGCTTCTCTTCCTAGGAAATTCGATTCACCGGGAAAGCCTATCTTTCTTGGTTTCAATAGGGCTCCTTAGCCCACACTATATTCTATCTTTCTTCCTAGGCTCGATGTAATTGACCTATATCTAAAGATAGTGTAATATGGGTATAGACTCACGGAACACTTACTAGATTCTATTTTTTGCTGGATCAACTGTGCTGGAATTGGAAATGCAATTTACTAGCAAAAAAAGAAAAGACTAAGAGGGGCGCGTGTATCCCCAAAGACCGAAGCGAACCGCAGTGTGGTAAGCGCAGACTGAACACATGGCTCCTTTATCCAGAATGGATGGAACATGTCCCCTATCCCCCTGAATACCAATTCCGTCTCAATTTTATTTTCGGGGATGACGTATTGGCTTATTTATTTTCAACAAAAGTGTGGGGTAAGAGCTGCTGTTGAGGCTCTATGTTGCAAAGAATTTCGTTACTCGCTTATCGGAAAAATCCTTATTTGGTATGATAACTTTGCCTGGGGATCTATACCGACATGGTGTTTTCCCCAAGAGCTCGGAGCAAGAAAGCCCCATCCAGGATGGAAGATTCCAAATCATGAATGGAGTGACTCCCATAATGAATGGGCAAGACTCTTTTGCCTTGCCCTCAATGTTATATTATCCTAGAACCAGCTCTTTCCTCCTCTACCTCTTGGGATTGGGGCGAAAAGCATGGATCGCTAGTCGAAGATCCCTGAGTTCTCTTTCCTTCTTTCTGCTGATGGTAAAATGAACTACTTTGCTTATCACAGTTAGTTCGTCAATTGCCTCTCTCCAAGGTGACTTCACTTCGCTTCGAAAAGTTCGTTGGATCCAATTTCTTTTTTTCTTTGTGAACAAGGGAAGCCACTAAGGTAGTCAAATTCTTTCCCGAAATGAAAAGAAGGAAAAAGAGAGAGAGCGTCCCACGGAGCGGTTCGTTACCCATCTTTTCTTTCCTTATAGGAAATGTCCTATGGTGCCTTCAAAAGAGCTGATCAAGGGACAAGTCTAAACCTTGTTAGAGTCCTTTCTTCTCTGCTACAGCATTTAACGAAGAAATACACCTTAAAGTTCATAAGACGAAAAGAGATTTTTGAGGACCTTATACTCATTATGCCTAGCATTGAATATACTGGTATTCACCCTATCAATATCTTTAATCAAGGGTGGAGTCTGTTTGGTACCTAAATGGACACCCAAATCAGACCGAGCCCTTTGTCAGGCTGTTGTTCCCCCAAGTTATGGAGTAAGACATTTCTTTCTCAATAAGATCCGTTTTGTGGATTGTATGATGGACTCCCCAGAAAAACATTGGCGCGCGTGTAAACGAGCTTCTTTGATTTCTGAGCTATAGCCCTTAGTAAAGTAACTGTGATGCATATTATATCATATATATAATTTGTTGTCAAGATGAATATGATATGATCCAAGATCAACAATTTTTGAGTGATATTGATTATTATTTATTCCTTATAAGGAATATGATATTTAGAATTCATTGACGTCAATTACATCTCAATTACATCGACCCTTTAGGATGATCAATGACCTACTTAACTCAGTGGTTAGAGTATTGCTTTCATACGGCGAGAGTCATTGGTTCAAATCCAATAGTAGGTAGAATTTCTTAGATACCATCGCCCGGGGTATCTAATAAGTTTTTTGTCTCACCCAACGAACGAAGCGAAGCGAAGTTCAGTCAAAGAGTGAAAAAGATTTAGCCGATTTCCCTTAGCCCGTCTCTGTCTCTAGAGTATGATCTTTCTCCGGAAATTAGCGTAAGAGAATGGAATTAGCGTAAGGGTCAATCTTCATCAATTTGATCATCTTGTGTGTGGGATCGTTCAAAACCCTGCAACAGTAAGACATCGTGTGAGGCGAACCGAGGATGGACAAAGTTGGGCATCGAAGGAGCAGGCAGGCTGCAAACCCCACCAACTGGGACGCCCTTCTCCTTCATAAAAGAGCGCTCAGCCTTCTAAGAAAATTGCTTCAGAACTCCATCTCGCTGAGTCACAGGCAGCGCCTCGAAAAGCCTTTGATTCGGTCTCTTGGACTTTTCTGAGGCAGCTGATAAAAGGTCGAATCCAGTCCTACCAAGTATTGACGGAGCGTCTTTCGCTCTCTCTTATTAGAAGAAGGAAGGGGTAGGTGGAGGACTAGAAAGCCAGGAGTATCGACACGCTCGCATAACCATGGGATTGCAAACTATGACGCCGAGCGAAGATCGCTATTCTAATCCGAGGGGGACATATTCTCGTAAGTGAGAGTCGAGATCAGCGAGTGGGGACTTTCAAAAAAGAAAATGAAAATCTAATCGATGAAAGTGGTCAACTTTGTCGAGCCTGATTTCCCGGCAAGATATAATTACTCACCACCTCCGGCTGCTTTTGTTGAAGGCAGATTTGATTTGACCTGGCCTGAGAGAAGGCGATACCTACTGGGGTGAAGTTTTTTGGAAATCTCTTTGGGAACAAGAAGAAAATCCGGGCTCGATTGATGGCTGAACCACGTCATGGCGCTAAGAACTTGAGGGAAGGTGTGAATCCTTTATTCTTTGAAGAGCAATCGCGTAATCATTCTTTCCGGATGGAAGAAGGCGTTTTGAACCATATATGTTGCTGGAATGAAATGCAGCCTCGGAACAGAATTATGCTGCTTGCTGGGCCCTGATGGTGGATCGAAAGAACCTATTATATTAAGGTTAATCGCCTACATAACCTCCCATACTAAGGAAAGAAGGCTCGATGTAATTGACCTGTAGTTCGAGCCCTTTTTAAAAAGCAGTTCCTGTACTTTGCTTTGAATGGCTAGTAAAGTAGTCTGCTTGAAGGGGGGAGCTAAACTTGAGTTGAGATTTTCATTTGTGCTCGTTAATTACATCAAACCTCGCCACCCTTATCATGGAAGCAAGCTAAAGCCTGTTTTTAGATAAAAAGCAGACGATAACTAACTTGTTTTCCTTCCTTAGTAAATTAATCCTTTTTCGTCTATTGTTTCTAAGTAGCGCTTCCGCATTCATAATGGAGGGCCCGCGTTAAATGGGCTGGGCTCATCAGAATCAGAAAGCTTATGCCGGAGATCCAGCAACCAGAAGAAAGACTCGTCCTTTCCCAGGATCGAACCTTGCACACACCCGTAAGCAATCTCCCTCTCGTGCGCTCCTCCCTTATCCCGGTCGTTGAGCTTCCGGCTCTCGTAAAAGCGCTAGAGGATTCCCATCCCCGATCTCGAAAGATGTGATCCGTCTTTCCTGATACGGCGATAGAGAATGCTGTGGTGTTGTCTTCACAATTTGGTAATACGGGGGTTTTTGACTAAAACTAATAAAAACTCTTTAGAAAACGAATAATATGAGAAAGGCCATCATTAAGGCAAACAAGGCAATAGCTTCGGTTTTTCAATTATACCTCCACACACGTGCGTATAGACCCCACATTGTAATAAATATATAAAGAAAATCCCGGTATTAGTATGTGATTATTATTCAACGGGATTAAGAGTCTTATTCATTAGTAGCACTAGTATTAACTAAGCTTATTATATAGTGATAGTGAGTTGAGTAATGAGCTGGACAGCATTTAGTTTCTAACCTTACTCCTGTGAAGGAGTCCTTCTTTCTTTGGTTACGAAGGTGCCCCGACGGTGATCCGCCCATTTATTGGGTTTTCCGTTCTGGTGTCTTATATTTGGAAGCCCATTTGCTTGACTCCGATTGCGCCCTGAGGGTCGATGTAATTGAGTGGAACGACTTACGTCCTTCTGTGAAGGGATCCCTTTATGGTCTCCATGTATCTATCAGGTATGCTTGGCACAGCAACGAAATGTTGTCTTCTTTATCAAAGCAGAACTGCCGCAGATTCGTTGAGGAGCAAGCTCCAACCTGATATTTTTGCTAGCCTTCCTCCGTCGACTAGCGTATTCCACTAGTTCAGGGGCAGGAAAGAAAGCAATCGAATGAACGAAGTATAGCGTCGAGTTCGTACCTAGTGACACAGAGGGAAACTAAGCAACTGTTCTCTCCCTTCAAAGTGGACCGGGCAGGGCAAATCGAGCACGCTTTGTCTACATCACCTATATAGGTGTTTTGCCGCAACTCAATAAAGACATTGACTCGGGGATTGGTAAAAAAGCGGTACCTAGGCATGACTTCTTTTTCCCTTACCTGGTCAATTACATCGAACGAAGCGAAGTGAAGTCATAGATGGGAATAGAATCAACAATCGAATAAGTGATGACTTGACTGATCTTGATGTACTATTTTGAAAGCCTTAGCCTTGCTAGCACGCCCAAACACAGACCAAGACCGGTCAAAGTCTACCTTCACATGTCTACCCAGGGCATATAGGGGCGGGGTTTACTTAGAATAGGAGAAAACTAAATAAGATGGGAGTTAGTCGAGTGCTAAATCGACCAATTTCATCGGTTTGAATCGGTCAACACTTCCACCACTTGCTTGAGAGATCCCTAAGGAGTCCTTGACTCTCAGACCTATTGATCAAGGGTGATCTATGATCATCTTAAAAGTCTCAAAGAGTACTATCCCTTGCTGGCATCTCAACGACTTTTTTTTCGATTAGGTCTTCCTTCTTAACAGCCTTAACGACTAGTGATCTACTGAATGAATGCCATGCCATTTAGCTCTATCTCCCTATCTATTGTTGACCCCAAGTCAACGGCATTGGATGGGGCTTTCGTTTGGTACGAATAGCGGGAGTGCTAAGATAGTTCTCTTATGGGTCGAATACACGAAGAGGTCTTGGCTCGCTCAGAATAGAAGGGGGTTGGTTATTGGTGACCATCCCCTAGGTATCTTTGGGGAACATAGCCTCAATTACATCGAGCCTCCTTGGAATGCGACGAACAAGTCCCTAATGCCTTCGCGTAGTTTGTACTGCTCATGGGGTTGGGGAGTTTGCCGCTGGATTATCCGAAAAGGGCTGCTAGACTAGACAGGAATATCTATTAGATATAAAGAAAGGCTTGCTTGCTAGCTGTCTTCAGGACCTATAACTATCAGACATGAAGAGTACGGAAGGGAAAGAACGAGGATCGATTACATTGAGGCTCACTTCACTCTACTCTCTTGCGGACTTGTCTGGTCAATCGGTGCCCTCTATCTTGCTTCATTTTGCAGCTATATGAGATGAAACTTTCGCAATTGAAATGAAACGAACGAAGCGCAGCGCAGTGAAGTCATAAAAAACGAAGGGAATTATGAAAGTCATCTTTCTCAGCTATATGAGATGAAAAAAGTGGAATTTCAATGAGCCGAAGGGAAGAAAAGGAATAGTAATCGAACGAAGCGAAGTTCAGGAAAGGTTATAACATATGCTCATACTTTAGAAGCGAAGTGAAGTCAAAAAAAAGCCCAAGCACTAAGCGAAACCTTCAACAGCGGAGAACAGAGCTGCAGCAAGACCATCAGATTGAATAATGACGGATTCAGTATCAGAAGGCTTGAGTACGAAAGTAGGCTTTTATTACGCTATTCTTCCCATCGAGCAAGGGAAAGAGAGAAGACCAAGACCTAGCGAAAGCTTGAAAGCGGAAAGCGATCTTCAGAATATAGAAAAATAAGAATACTTATACCTTACACAATATGCACAGCGATGGAGAGATTTGGCGGCAAAAGATAACCAGTCACCTTTCAAGAATTGATTGAAGGTAAGCATGCCCAGCTTGATGGGAAAGAGATTAGATCCCGAGGGCAGTGAAGTTTGCCATTAGGAGGAACGTAGTGCTCGACCGGAAAGGAGAGGTTCAAGCCTCATTCTACTAGGCTAATGAAACTGGGATTACCGGTGTTTGCTGAATATCTGGGTGGTTAGCGCCTGGCCTGGTCACTTTCAAAAGAGTTGGTAGGATGGTTCCTAGTCGAAAGATACATATTGTAATAAGAACCTTTACGGAAAGCTCTCCACGGGAAGCGCAAGCTCCAACAGTTACAGACTAAAAAGCAGGCGCGTACGTGGTCGTCGAAATCCTCCGCCCAATAAGGCATTATCCTAGATTCCAGAAGAGAGACAGACAAATATAAAAGAAATAAGAGAACTTTCCTCTCCCCAACGAACGAAGCAAAGCGAAGTTCAGTCATAGAAGCTTCGTCAATTACACCTTCCCTCTCCCTTTGGCGTCTTCGTACCCACCTCCTCGCTTTACGACTATTAGCTCTTCTCGTTATTAAAGTCAGATCGCTGCTTAAGTCGAAGAGTACGGAGGAGTCTTTATGAGGTGAGACGATAGGTGAATTCGGTCAAGGAAGAATCGGTGAAGGGATCCCCATATTTCGTCTTTCCAGTGGCGGACGGGTGAGTAACGCGTAAGAACCTGCCCTTGGGAGGGGAACAACAGCTGGAAACGGCTGCTAATACCTTTGACGTGAATAAGCTGAGGAGCAAAAGGAGGAATCCGCCCGAGGAGAGGATCGATTACATTGAGGCTCGACCATAGGGAGAGGATTAAAGGCTGATTAGCTAGTTGGTGAGGCAATAGCTTACCAAGGCGATGATCAGCCACACTGAAGTCTAAACCTCCTACGGGAGGCAGCAGTGGGGAATTTTCCGCAATGGGCGAAAGCCTGACGGAGCAATGCCGCGTGGAGGTAGAAGGTTTAAGCTTGCTCGTGAACTTCTTTTCCCGGAGAAGAAGCAATGACGTGGGGAATAAGCATCGGCTAACTCTGTGCCAGCAGCCGCGGTAAGACAGAGGATGCAAGCGTTATCCGGAATGATTGGGCGTAAAGCGTCTGTAGGTGGCTTTTTAAGTCCGCCGTCAAATCCCAGGGCTCAACCCTGGACAGGCGGTGGAAACTACCAAGCTGGAGCCCTAAAGAAAAAAGAAAAGGGGCAGAGGGAATTGGAGGTGGAGCGGTGAAATGCGTAGAGATCGGAAAGAACACCAAGAGCGAAAGCACTCTGCTGGGCCGACACTGACACTAAGAGACGAAAGCTAGGGGAGCGAATGGGATTAGATACCCCAGTAGTCCTAGCTGTAAACGATGGATACTAGGCGCTGTGCGTATCGACCCAACGAACGAAGCGAAGCAAAGTGAAGTCATAGAAGTTCAACCAGCTTGAATCTCGTTCAATCCATAAACACGTGCAATCCCATCCATCCATGGAATTAGTAAAAAAAGATCGCAAGGGTCGATGTAATTGAGGTTCCATGCCTTCTACTTAGGCAACCCGAATCCGCGTATACCTACTCTAGCAAGAGAGCACCAACGGATCCTTCCACTTCTGTAACAGAAGCTAAAAGGTGCGAACGAAGAAAGCTTCTTTGGGTAAAGGCTTCGCACCTACTTACTTGTTCTGTCTCCCGTCATAAGACAGCCGGCCGATACGAGGGATTGCCTTAGGAGAGCAAAGTGAGACTCTACAAACGAAGCAAAGCGAAGTGAAGTCACTCAACCGGAGAGGAAAGATTACATTGACTTCTTTCTTCTCTCGGATTTCTTTAGAGTTGAGGCTCGCTGTAATTGAGCTGATATTGCCATATTGTCAGAGTCATAAAGATGAGGTTCGATGTAATTGACGAATGCCAGTCTACTTTCCGCCTGCTGATCACATAGAGTTTGCTTTGAATTGATCATTTCTTGAGAACTTTCAGTATGGTGCGTACTTTCGAAAGTCTAAGAAGGAAAGCATTCATCCCCATGCCTTCTGGGCCTATCACCTACTCCTCTGTCGCCACTCCTTCAATTACACCTTCCCGAATTTCTATGACTTCACTTTGCTTCGCTTCGTTCGTTGGGAGGAATTTTCGAAACAGAAAATAGTTTCACTGACTTCCTTCTCTTTTCCCACCCTTATTCTTGACTCATCTTCAGCTACCCGCCATGAAGTGAAGTCACCTTGGAGAGAGTCCATTTATGGACTTAATCAGACTTCAATCATTTGCTTCATTGGTTTCTATACCGTACACGAGAATTTTCTCACAACTCCTCCTTTCGTAGACCGAGGCCTCTTAACAAGATTATCGCATTGGAGCTGTGTTGATCTTCACATACTCAATTCATCCGAAGATTTGGTATGGGATGGTTGGTTTAGCACGAGTATCGAAGGAGAGCAGAGTAGTTCTTTCCCTACTAGTATTACGGAATGGAATCTTCTTTCTTTTGTAGGAGTCTTCCAGGAGCATCTCGTGTTATGAGTAGAATACGTTGTTTGCAACTTCAAAGTCACCTGATTTGGCAATAGAAGAAAGAAGCTTCTGAGTCAACCTATAATAGGATTTTTGGCAAAACAAGCCGGGACGAAGCCAAGCCGATACCCGGTTAAAGGGAAAAGGTTCAAACGAGATTGAAAACTACCATTCCGCCGAATCTATGATTGGGAACTATTTGAAATCTGGAGAAAACGCACTCCTTTTGCTTGAAGCGACTCTTTCGCGGGCCTGACCATATTCTACCTTGTAATTTTGTTTTCTGCCGTTGGGTTTTACATTTTTCGAAGGCGATTCCCGGAGACTCAGCCGTCTTCGCTTCGTTCCATCACTTTCTCAATAAGAGAATTGGACGATAGACCCCTTTTAAATGGAAAAAAAGAAAACAGGAGTGAAGAAAGTACCCTAACTGAGCAGGCACAAAAAAATCGAATCTCAATTCAACAAGAAAGCAAGAAAGAAAAGGTTCAAAAAGAGTATCTCACCAAGGCGACTGCCTCCTCTTTACGGGGCTCTGGCCCTTCCTATCACCATTTGATAGCATTAGTCTTTCTCTTCTTATCCCTCCTTGGTTGAGGGTCGATGTAATTGAGACCAACTTGCAGCTTTGAAGAGCTTTTTCTCCTCCAGACCTCTTCTCCACTAGTGAGAATCTGAATGAAACCATATCCGAGTTTGAAAGCCAGCATGTCAAGGTTTGTCGTCTGTTTGGACTTCACTTCGCTTCGTTCGTTAGGTCGATTACATTGAGACTGGCAAGCAGAAGAGCCAGAGGAAGAGCTACTTATAGCAACTAAGAACATCTCTACCTTGCTTCCGTCAGCCTATCACCGCAGGTTATGAAATAGTTCAAGGGGTTAGCCACAGTTTCTCCTAGCTTCCTAGTTCTAAAGTCAGCTACGACAGGTAATAGAGAGATGATCTTGTTAGAAGGCTAGTAGTCCCTCCAATATGGGATCTTCTCCGCTTCTTCCTGCCATTAGCTAACTCAAAAGCAAGAGAGACAGCTTGATCGGACCTCTCTCTCGTTGCTGACTTCCTTCATTCATGCTGGTTACAAAGACAAGGAGATTCATTAGAAGGAATCCGGCCCTTAGCTTTAGGGCCTTGCCCATTCCCTGCCATCAACCACCCGTTCCCTTCCATTAACCGCTCAAGAGCAAGAATCAAACAGCCAAACAGCCTTGCTCTTCATTGCTGAACTTCCTTGTCCTCTTTGTGAAAGAGAGGGATTAAGAGAAGGAAATAAGAGGCGCGTCTCAGGTCTCTCGAGCGAACCCCCTTGTTACATCCGGTCCGCTCCAATCGCTCGCTTGGACCATTACCATTGTCAAAAACAGCAACAACCGATTCGCCACAACAGCTATACACCGAAGGGTAGTTTGCTTCTCCTTTTTTTTCCGGTCTCTCGGTCAATCCCTTCTTTGCTTTTCTATGATAAGCGATTCAGTAGTAATTATTTCCCAAGTAGCAAGACTTTATTTAACCCCACCTTTGAGCATTTGCGGGGCCTAGCTCACTTTCGTATCCTAGTAGGCCTGATTCTCAACCACCCTTTGGCTCTTTATAAGTCTTCGTTGCTCCTCTCTCAGTCATCATTGATCCTCAGTCCAGGTTTCTACCTCTACACAGTTCGCTAATTGTAACCGAGACTTTTCAATACAACTTTGACTTTCATCCTCCATCCTCGCTTATCTTTTCTTCATTTTCGATCCTTCGTTCTGCCACATCTCTGCGTGCGTCGCATTCACATTCCATTCCAAAGTCCCTCTGCAGGACTACTGGAACGGCGTGGTCCTTCTTATCGCTGCTTGTTCCCGCTAATTGGAGTGGCCAAGTCGCGTAATCCGGTATACTAGGTTCTTGGCTTCTGTACACATTAGCACAATCGAGACTGGTTTCACTGAGGGAAATCTTCTTCTTTTTCACTCTTTGACTTCACTTCGCTTCGAAATTAGAACCTTGCTTCAGGGGGCAAGGAGAAAGGAGAGCGAGTGAGTGAGTAGGTGAAAGTCCCTAACCGAGATAGGGTCCACGGTGGCTACGGGGAACCAGAGCCCGCACGAAGGATTCCATGCAGAAAGAGTTATTCTCTTTCTTATGATATTAGCTGTAATCAATTGAATGGCAAATCTCTTTCAAAGCGAAGACCTTGACTAGTAGCCGGCTGACTTACGAATACCAGCATCTCTAAAAGAAAGAGGGCTTTCTCCGTCTGTGAAAAGCATTGGCATTCTAATACTTCTTGGAAGCCTTTCCTACGCCTTGGTTCACCACTGCGCACTCTCCATATTCTATTAGGCATGAGAGATGCGGGTCCTTTTCCTCTCCCTATCGGTCGAGCTGAATTACATCCAGCCTATCCCTTAAAGCCTTGAAGTATCTTAAGCGAGTAGGGAATTGAGAGTAGAAACTAGTCATACTCGATTAAAGGCACTCCCATAGGCTGGCAGGTAATAATTAACTAAAAAGGACCCTATTGAATCAGCTCCTTTAAAGAAGTTGGTGCCGAGCCAAAGCGGTAAGTCTGGAATAAAGAATGTAAGGACTTTTTTTCTGTGACCTATAAATAGCGATGTCAACTGGTAGAGCGAGTTCCCTAAAAAGTAGGAGCAGACTCGAACCCGGAATACCTATGACTCGAACCCAGAATACCTATGAAATTAAGGATGAAACTGACGCTTTACCAAATCGACGATTGCGACTACAGATGACACACAGCCCACCCACCGCCTTTACGTCTGTTTCGGATATGGGCGTGCCCTGCTACAATCTGCTTTCATTAGCAAAATACCCGTCTTACGCATCCAGGGCGATAAAGAATTCCACGACTGCTTGACCCGCCTTGAAACTAAGGGGACGCAGCGACAACATTTCATAGAGAACACAGAGGACGGCACAAAGCCAATATTAGCGATGGCTTTGAGCCTGCAGGACTCACCTGACGAAAGGGCATCACCTTACGCTTTCATCACACGAACCGACTTGCTCTTGCTAGAGTTGGAGCCTTAACCAATTACCATATCTTGCGGACCTTCTCTCGAGCTAGCAACCTGCTACCACAGATATCCATTCATGTCAACTCCAGCAGGATCTAAGACCACACTATCTCTAGTCAAAGGGCTTACAGAACATTCGACAGTAGAAGAAGTACAAAAGAGGACCGCTTACGTCTATTCTCTCAGTTGGGCAACCAAAGGCTTACTCCATGGGTTCTATCATTCTATGAGCTGAAAACTTTTCTTTTAGGTTCTTGCCCATCACAGGGCAAAGGTCATCCGCAGGTGAGATCGGACGTTTTGCCTTGACCAGCAGTAGGGCATAGACCTTACCAGCAGCCAGGGACAGTTTCAACTCTCATCAACTCAATTACATCGATCCTGTGACTTCATTCACCGCATTAGAGGATGGTCTCTCGAGCCTTAGGGACTGGGCTACTTCCGATCGACAGACGATTGACAAACTTGAAGCTAGCGCATCAACAACAAGCTCCAAGAAAGAGCATCCCGTTTACGAATCATAAGCACGAGGGCCTCTAGATTAAACCAATTTTTGTTTGGATCAGTGAAGAATGTATTAGACATGCGTGCCTTGACACTTCTCCATCAGATTAACAATCTCCTTTTTCAAAAGCAGAAAGGTCAAAATTATGTACCAATACAGAAGGAAAAGTTTATTTTATGTTATGTAAATACAAGTTGTATAGCTCAACTTTGTCGACCCAACGAACTTTTCGAAGCGAAGTGAAGTCCTGGTGTAATTGACCTCGACTTCGACTTCTAACTAAAAGCGAACAGCCGGCAAGCAAATAGAGCAAAGGCCTCCTCTTTCCGTCCGCTCTTACCGAAGTGAGCGAATTGCATGTAGAGAGATACGGGGCTTATAGTTTAATTGGTTGAAACGTACCGCTCATAACGGTGATATTGTAGGTTCGAGCCCTACTAAGCCTACCATCCCATAAGTACAATCGAAGTCTCCGCCACCCTGCGGATCTCAATGACGCGGCGGCACCTGGAACCACACACACTGCTGCCGCTGCCCTTCGTTATCGCCTCCTACGCTTACCACTCACCCACGCTAGGGCTAAGACTGAAAGTTGCTCTTCTGATTCATCCTGTCTTTCAAGGAGAGGATCGATGTAATTGAGTATAGGTTTTTAAGAGTTTCGGCGAGTAACTGAACTCACTTTTGAATGTGCAACTTAGCACCGGGATGAGAATTAGCCCTTACTTCTTGCGTCAGAGCCGAAGAACAGGATTCCTTGGGCTTTTTGACTTCACTTCGCTTCGAAAAGTTTGTATCTAAGACTCTTTCCTTTCTTTCTCAGCCTTCTGAAGCTGCCTTTACGGCTATACCCGCTCCCCTAACTGCTGCCAATGCCAGGATTCCTTCTTTATATGCTTTCAGTTGATTCAGATGTTTTCCTTCTTTTTTCAGGGTGTCCTAAGATTGGGTTAGTGGTCCGCGAACCTCCGAGAGGAGGAGCGAAGCAACGACCCAATTCTTCGATTCAATTACTTTTCCAACCCTGTGGATGTAGAAAAGTGTGTGAATGGCACACGCAAGATTGGGAATGTGCTGAAGAGCCGGTCCATGCAGGACTTCATGTTCTGTGAATGGTTTGGAGCTCGAAATTTCAGGTTCGTCGGGCCTGCATTGCCTGTTGACCAGTTTGACTATGTGCAGATGGCTTTTTTTTGTCGCCGAATCCGTTTCCCAGCACGGAGTGTACATAAATCTCAGTTAGTTCAGTTCCCAGCCTTAGATCAATCCCTTCTTGAACAACCAAGGCACAGCTTGAAAAGCAAAGGCTAGAATAGCATATAGAAATAGGCGGCCTTCCTTGCATCAATTGGCACTATCAAGTCGGAATCAACAGCAAGAGGAAAGGAAGAAGTCCCAAACGCGGCCATCTCAGTAGGAAGCCATTTTCTAAAGTGCCAGAGCTCTTATTCCGACAAGAAGAGCACTAGCCCTTACTAATGGTAAATTGAAATCCGTTCCTGGACTTAAGAAGGAAAGGAAAAACAGATTATGCCACTCGTGTCCTAGGACTAGTTCTTGATAAGAGAGCTATTCCTTCAAAGAACCTTTTCTTGCAGCCCTGGATAAGGCCGAGATAAGAGTCCCTACAGTTGATTCAAGTGCAACCACTATTTGTCCAATTCCTCCCTCATACCCAATGAAATAGCAGCTTATTCTTTCATTTGTCCTGCTCTGGGGCACCATATAATGTCAAAGAGCAGATTCCTAGCAGCTTCTGATTCACTTCTTCAAGGAAGAGGTATAATATTCTATTAGGGTGACGGACTCAATTACATCGACCCTAGTGCCAAGCTTAAGAGCAGATGATATAAACGGCTCCTAATGGAACAGTTACCTATTCTTTCCCAACGGATTTTCATTCAATGGGACCTAACAAACTCTCTATACCTGCTGCTTTCCTTGCCCTAGAATTTAAAGGATTGGATTCTGCATCCCTTAGAGGAAAAAGAACAGCGGATTCTCTACCTCTATCTAAAATCCGTTCTTCAAAGAAAAGAACAAAAGGGTCGATTACATTGAGATGAAGGCCTTTACTTATATAAGTAGTTTTGATCCCGTCTCTGTGGATTTTGGAAAGCTTCTAAATTACATCTATCCTCACCTTTGAAATTGAGGACTTGGTTCTGGCAATCACTGATAGACTTCCCCTTCTTCTGCTCTGAAACACTTTCTAGTGACCAAGACTCTCTTTTTCTGATCATCATTGCTTTTTTCTCGTCCTTCATGAATTCAAGTAATGATGGGGGAGGCAGGTCAATGTAATCGAGCCTTCCCCCCTAAGAGATAATGTTATGCATCCTAATTTGAAGCGCCAGTAGTCTTTTTCGAAATAATCTTTTAAAGTACAAGACAACAAGCCCAGCTAAAAAGGAAAGTGGGATTAGATCTTGATATTACGATATCTTCCTCAAAAAAACGTCAAAGGGCAGGTTTTCCAAGATGGGGGAACGGAGAGTGAGAAGGGTAATAGGCGCACTCAGGCAAGCAGTGAAGCTTGGTATTCGGATCAAGCAAAGGATCAAAGGATCACAAAGTGAGACTCAACAAACTTTTCGAAGCGAAGTGAAGTCAAACTAGGAACCCGAGAAAGCCTAGAAATTGACTTGACCTCCTTTGACACCAAAAGTTCATTTATCTGGGTTTCATTTCATCCCATAACGATTTAGCACTTCTCAACTTTGTCGACCATATTTAAAAGCGAAGCGAAGTTCAGTCATAGAAAAGCCCTGGTTGCTTCTTTTCCTTTCTCAGTCGAGCTCCATATCGACTCTGAGCCTTAAGGAAGGGCCCCTAGCCTAACTCAATACGAGATCGAAATAATCTTTTATACTGGACCGGGTTTCAAGATCTTAGTACCTCCTTTCTGTCCCTTTCTGCTTCCGTACTTTCCACAGCTTCTTCCTAGGGTGAGGTCCCACTAATCCCGATTGCAGACCAATAGTCAACTTGAAACTAAGGGTGTGGGAGACAAAGGGTCGATGTAATTGAGTCGAAGTCACTTTCCTAGGTTATGGTAGGTTCAGTGCCCAAGAAGAATCGGTAGTTGTTAGACTGGCTCTGGCTTGATGACTGCTTTCCTTGGTTTCAAAGGCCAGGCTAACAAAGCCAAAACACCTAATTAAGTTAAGAGCGGGAAGCGAAGTCACTAACTATACTATAAGGAAGAGTTTCGGGGTTTAAAGAAGAAGACAGATTTATGCCAAAAAGACAGACTTTCCTCGTGTTAGCGATACTGGAACTGGGATAGTCTCGGGTAATTCTCTTCCTGTGACTAGGCTTTCTCTCCGGGAAATCTCTTGGATTAAGATCAGTAGGAGGGGATCCCCCAGGCAAGCTACTTATTAATTAGAACCCGGATAAGCGAGTGAATGGCTTGAAAGAAGGAGAAAAAGTCAAACTCTCCCCTTTTCTTTTTGATTTAAGAGTGAAAACCCGATCAAAAAGGGATTTTTGCCGGATTGATTCGTCTCATCCATTCTTTGAGCTCTTTGACTTCACTTCGCTTCGTTCGTTGGGTCATCGGTTGGCTTGCTTCACCGGTCTGGCTCATCGGCTTCTTAATGACTAAAGCGGAATCGGAGAGGACTTTTCAGTGGAAGTTGAGCTCGTCGTGCTGCCCGTGACGTGAGTGATCGTTGACCCTGCCCCTCTTTCAACAAACTTGCTTGCTTTCGCAGATGGGATGGGATGGGATGTCACTTCATGGAGAGTTGGATCGAGAGATATACATGGAGCAGCCTCAAGGGTTTGAGAGCAAGGCTCATCCAGACTATATATGCAAATGTTGGAAGACACTTTATGGATTGAAGCAAAGCAAGCACCAAGAGCTTGGTACGGAAAGATAGCAGAGTTCATGATTCAGAGTGGTTATGCTATGGCACCATCAGACTCCTTTGGCCATTCTTCTCTTCTTCGATAGTAGGGGCTGGCTTCTTATCCGTGAACGATGACTTTCTTCTTTTACGATACGATATTTCGCAGAGATCCAGTGGCTTTCTTTCCTTGGCAAGAATCTGTCTTTGAGTGCGCTTCCAGAGGATAAGTTATGTACTAGTCTTACAGGAACATATCGTCTGTGTTTACCACGGCTAAAAAGAATGGATTTTTTTGTTCTTTCCCCAGAAGGCCCAGATAGGCTGGTTTCAGTAGGCGAGTTGCCTTAGGGAAACGAAAGACGAGGCTGATACCCCTTGTTTGTGGGTGATTGATCATACGGGTCCCAAAACGGTGCCAAAAATGCCCTTTATTTCATATAGTCTAATGTACACCCGAGGTCCTAATCTTTGGATTGGAAAGGTTTGGAGCAGCGAAACTTTCTGAATATTCATTCCTGGGCTCCGAGGTCAAGAAAAGACTTTGTTTGCCTCTCAAACAAAGGTTGATTTCAAATCCCTTTCTTGGTGGTTACCGAGATCCTTTCTTCAAGAGCGATCGAATTCGCATTTCTTTATTTAAGATAAAAGTTGACGTTGAATTCTCGTCAGAGAAGAAATGATGGCAAGTGAGCGAGTGGTATCAGCAGGAGCAACTGGTCTTTGATTGAGACGCTCGGAACTGCCCAAAGAGGCCTTTCTTGAATCTGTATTTCCTTCTTTCTCCTTGCACCAGTCGCCTCTGTCTCTTAACGAAAAAGAGCGCGAACGCGGTCTCATAGGTTTAAGTCTCAGGACCTCTTGCTTATGTTTTGGGTTCAGCTTTGGCTTCAGATTAGGGATAACATCTACCTTGGTTCGAAAGAAAGCTCCGCCTTTATCTAGGAAGAAAGCTGAGGGTGGGTCCCCCTGCGTCGGTTCGTGAGAAAGAGAAGGATATCTTAGTTCAAGAGAATATAGGATCCGTTGATTTGCATGCTTTAGCGCAGACTCGTATGCCTATTCTGATACGGCGGGATCACCCACTTCTTCGCCCTTTCGCCCCAAAAAACCTCTATGACTTCACTTCGCTTCGAAAAGTTCGTTGGGGCGAATAAGTCCACTTTGCTACCTCTGAATAGACGCGAAGCTCAAAATATATGTTTTATTTTGAGGAGAATCCATGTAGTGTTCTAAACCCTACATACTGAATTCGAACGAATTAGATCGAGCTAGTGGCATGTGGCTTTTGGGGTTCCGTTCCCACCACCCAGGGAGCAAGCAAGGCAAGGAGAACTTTGCAGCCTTACTAGTCATAGTAGCTTGCGCGTCCCTCCATTCATTCCGCCAGGAAGGCATGTGAAAAAGTCAAACCTGTGCTTCCAGTTCTTGAAGTGAGTTTGCGCCTTGCCATCCTGCTATATCAATAATTTGCATATTGAGGAAGGATATTTTTAGGTCCAAGAAGGGGCTTTCAGATAGAACCTAGACCATGATCGTCCGTCAGTCTTTCTTCCAAGACCTCCTTGAATGAAGAAGTATGCGGCACAAACCCCTATCTGCACCGAATCACAGGACGGTTCTTTGCTTTACATTCCTTTCTTTTGGTGGTCATACGAATGATGATTCCCGAAGATGCGGAATGCCTACAGTAAAGGAAAAAGAATGATGATCGGAACATGAATAGGAAGAATGAGTCTGTTGTAGTAAAAACAACTGGTGCTACCTTTAACCCAGCAAAGCATATTCTCCTTTGAGCTGACTTCGCCCGCGAGCCTCTGTCATAAGGTATCCTGGAATTCAGTTCCTTAGACAAGGGGGGGACCCCTTTCATCAATTGTAAATCTTCTGGCAGCCAAGGGCGAATGGGCAAAAGATGTACTGAGAGGGACGGGGAATACATAAAGGAAATCGAGTCAAACTCTAGTAGGATAGATAGCCAGTCAGTTGTTATCAGTCTCAGTAGGGGGAGGAAAGTCCGGAGACTATAGCGAAGGAGAAGTCGGAATGTTATATCCTTTTCTGGGTACGGACAAAGGACCAATCCAATCTTTAATTAAAGAGGTAGTCTCAAAAAGTTTTTCCAGCTTCATGCAAAATCCCTTCTTCAACGGCTACGATTAAAGGGAGGAAGGTCACTCAGATCATAATATTCCGCTGTTTGAGGAGCTTATCCCCTGCCTGCTTATCCGGGCCGAAGACATGAATTGGGACCTTGATGCTACTGATCAAAACAAAGAATTGATAATGTAGAGGCTCTCCCAAGTACAGAATGAGGGAAGGAGCGGTCTCTTTCAATCAAAATAGCAAGAGGTATCAAAAGAACCCAATCCTGGATGACATTCAATATCATGTACCCATGTTACTATACGTATATCGGCTAATGGTATGCAATTTCCTATTATAGAATTTAGATCAAGTATCTCGTATCTAGTTGCAGGGGGGCGTGGCCAAGACCAGCTGACTGCCCCCTTCCACTCGGCCTTTCTTCGCTGTGTGAATAAGGTCTTAGTATGGATGGGCATTCTGGGCGGGTCGCAATAAGTCGCTGGTCGAAGGTTTGGACCAATCGCAATTCATCACCACTGCCTTATATCGGTTCAAAGTCTCAAGTTCTTTGTGGTGGTAAGTAAGCCTGGAAGAGCTCTATCGGCTGTCTGAGCGAACTATTTAGCAGTGGGGCAAGACTGATTGATAAAACACGGAAAGCTTCTATGTACGTTCGTTGGGTAGCCAGTAGGTTTTCATTTCTACATTTAGTAGTCTCATTCGACAGCTAAAATTCATGCTTTTGACGTAGCATCGGGAGTTCAATTGGAAAACCTTTCTATAGTGCCCCATGTTCCTATGATATCCCAACCCGAAATATTAAGCTTTTGCTGTGCCATTGAGAAAGCTAAGCGCACCTGTACATCTCACCCAATTAGTCACTTTCTTTCATATGATTCAAAGATTCTGCTCGTGAGCTGGTATAAACCTGTCTGACTGTGCCGTAACAGAAGATTTATCTCAACCCTATCAGGAGACCCAAGCAATGCCCAAATACTCCCGTTCCTTTCCTGATCATTGGTCAACTACTTTCTCTCTATTCTAACCGAAGATATATCATATATAAAGAAAAGACTTTCTTTTTTCTAGTTAGTTAGTTGACGATAGGCCACCGCACCAGGAGCTTAGCCATGTGTGGACCGAAATGGGCCCGCGAAGCCGGTTACCGGTAGGTCTAAGTCCTTCTCTAACTAGAAGCAAATCGTCTGCTCACTGAAGTTAGGATTACGGAAAGTCGGACATCACTCTTAGCCCTCTCTCTTGCTGTTCTTCCATTCAAGAGACTCCTATTAATCTTCTTACCTAACAGGATCCATTTACCTAGGGAAAAGGCCGATAGGTATAATTTTTTGAGTCAAGTCTCCTTTTTTTGACCTAGACAGGATTTTTCTCCGGTGAAAAGCCGGGATGATCCTGGGTAGGCCGGACCCCGTCAAAGACACGGGAACGTACTAATCCCTTGTAACAGGGTGTATACCTCCCCTCCAGGTCGTGAAACTGGCCGCGCCACTGCTTTAAATACAGTGCAAGGCTCGATATAATTGACCTGATGACCTGTACAGGTTAATTATCCGTTTAGCCAACAGGTACGATGCAATGCACATCTCCTTGGTTAGACCATCCAGGATGATCAACAGGACCTTACTAAGGAGTCAAGCGATCATCCGAAGACCTTCCAAGATCCTCAGCCAAGGCGGAGGAGCTATGGTAATTAATGATTAGAGAAAATCCCCAGGAATTTTCTACTTTATACAGAGAACGGCTCTCCCACTTATGGTAACCATTGCCAACCAAGTCTAGAGGTTCCAACGGTGGGCAGCGGCCGTGGTGACCGCCCCAGGTGGCTGTTCAGTCGCCCCCGGTTACCTGAATCACAAAGATTCATTGCTATTAGAGGTTGCCATAGATCAAACTTTTAGATGGTTAAATCTTATCAGAGCATATCTAAGAAAACTGCTCTTGCCTCTATCCCTAGGCCTTCTTTCTCCTAATAAGGTAAGTCTGCCTCTTCTCTCGGGAAGAGAGGAAATGAAGTTATTCAAAGTTTCGTTTTCCCGGTCTTTTTCCCGTAAATTCAGTTCTTCTTTGAAATCTTGCAACTCACTTTCCCTTCCTCTTCCGAGCTAAGAAATTCCTCTTATCCGAAAAAGTACTAAACTACCCTTAAACTAGAGCCAGGAGACAGATCCGAATACTGACTCGAGGAAAAGAGGCCAACCTTGCTTACGGGGAAGGGTATCAGAAAGACTAAAGCGGGAGTGCAGTTACCATAGCTAGTTTCGTGAGGTAACTCTTTTTCGCAGGTTCTGTCTTTACGAACTCTTTATTCTATGATTTCACTTCGCTTCGCTTCGTTCTTAGGGTTCAAATCCTGTCATCCCTACCTATTCTTCTCCTCCGGGCAGTAACGAGGGATCCATTGAGATCGATTCAAATTGGATATACATATTTGGACTATATACATGCAAGATGCGTATTGGGGGTACAGTACAAAAAGAATCCCTTTTCTTTACAGTCGTATCTACTGTGATAAGAAAGCGTTCTTAGTTCAGTTCGGTAGAACGCGGGTCTCCAAAACCCGATGTCGTAGGTTCAAATCCTACAGAGCGTGATTCTTTCTTCGTAGATCAAGAAGCCTATAAGCTATGTAAGCTAAGATGGGGAGAGCGCTTTCTCCCCGACGGCTTCTCGAATGATCACTTAGTATACGGTTAGGTAAGGTCAATTACATCGAGCCTATCTTTTTCTATCTCTCACATGACGTTCTCACTTGCACTTTAAGCTACGTAAAAAGGCGAAGAAAATTGGAACTAGACCAGATAGCTCGGTGGAAAGGATAAAGCCAAAACTCTTTCTTTTTTTTTCTATATGGTTCTTTTGGCTTGGCCCAAGCATCACGATCACGGGATATGCTGCAGCCGGTCCGGTTGGTTTCAACCTATTTGCCTTAAGCCCTTCCGATCACCCGAGAAGCCCCCGATGAACCGCATATCTTATCAGTTGATTGGCAAGCCGACTGACCCGCTTTCATTGGTTTTCTCTAGGCTTGATGTAATTAACCTCAACAAAGTCGGTCCCAAGGGTTAGCCATCAGAATCTACAATTTCAAAGAAAAGGCGGCGTGCTAATCCACGAAAAAGGATACGAGAAATTCGAAAGATCATCGGCCCGGCTCAAAAGCTGGAAATGAAAGCGACGTGTGTAGCTGACCAATTGCCAACTCGACTAGCTCCAGTAGCAGAACTCAGTTTAAGGTTATAACAGAATTTTCAATATACAAAAGATTAACCCAATTGTTTTGATTGGCCGAAATCAAATGTCTAAAATATTTGTCTAAGAGACCATTCACACGTTCTGTCTCTGTCTGCCCATCAGTTTGAGGATGGTTCGTCGTAGAGAAGTTTAGTTCCCATTAACTCAAAGAAAGACGTCCAAAAACGTCCTGTGAACCGAGCATCCCTATCACTCACCACATCTGCCGGTATTCCCCAATACTTGAAAACATTATTGAAGAATAGTCCACCTCGGCAGTACATGCATGTGGGGCGGGGGAAAAAGAAGCATACTTTGAAAAGCGGTCGACCACCACCATAATCAACAAAAAATCTTTCACCTTTGGTAATCCAGTGATGAAGTCTATAGATAAACTGACCCTGGGCTTTTGAACATCAAGTTTGTGGACAGGCCTCTCTCTTCCTCATTCTATTCTGACTTATGGATTGCCTTAAGAAAAGCATCAGTCTTTTCCTTCCCTTTTCGATTAGTGCCAGACAAAAACTAGATCCATAGGGAAAACGCAAAGACGATAAGACGATGTATAAACTTTCGTCTGATCTTCTTCTCCTGGTGGGATAGCAAAGAAGAATCTCTCCTATCCCGTAGTGGTTGTCTACGAGAAGGCAGATGCAGATCTTAGAGATTTCCTCGTTCATGATCTCTAATCCTTTGAGTAGATTGGGCAGGGGTAAGACTATGCACATAGCTTCGGTTCCGTCTTGTTTACCCAACAAACGAAGCGAAGTTCAGTCATAGAGGATCCGCGAAGACTCAAGCTCGAGTGAAAGTTCAACGAATCCGAGATAGGACTATTAGTAGGGCGAAGGGTTTTCTAATCTTTAACTGAAGGTAAGGCTTGATGTAATTAACCTGGTATGAGGGATTTCTCTTCCTTCCCTTTAAAGCTTGCAGTAGTGCTCTTGCTCTAGTCTTTGCAGTGGCGGAGACAATTTTGATTCGTCAATTACTTCGGGATCTTCATATTTCCCTATTTTCCCCTGGAGCTCTTTATTGTGAGAATTAGTGCGACGTACCTTGCTGTTAACCCGGGTTTTAATGCTCGCACTAAGCATTTAGAAAGAAATGGATTTCCATTTTTTTTGTTCGTGAGAGGGTGTCGCGTGGTGAAGTTCGGGTATGCTATGTTTCCAGCATGTACCAATTGGCAGATGTCTTTACCAAGGCTTTCTCTTCTGCTAAGTTTGCTCCTCTTCGGTCCAAGCGGAACTACACGAAGCTTGAGGGAGTTGTTAGACCATATATATCGGTGTCATACACCGATCTATAAAGATAGAAGCAAGCCTAGTTAGGCTTGATGTGCCTAATATTATTCTATCACTATACCAGGGATGCCGATGGAATATTTTAACATCTCAAGTTGGTTCATCCAACCAGAATAGTTTGGGTCTCGTTACGCTGTCTTGGATGTTGAGCCTACGTGCGATGAAAGGGATGAAGATGATGCTATGCAGACTGACATATCGGAACAAACTATTAAGAGCCTCTCCAGCTGGCGTCCATGATAATATCCAGTGTGTTGTGGAAGACCAGATGCGCTCTTAGCTGCCTTTCAAGATGGCAAATCTTTCTCAACTTTCATTGGTTTGGCGGGGCTCTTCATCTATCAATCGAAGGGGCTTCATTGCTTGGTTTTTGAAGACGGGAGAGAACTCAGATCAGGTTCAACCTAAAGTGAGTCATCATAGGGTTCCGCTCCTTGCTTTGAGGAAGGGACAGACAGTCGTGACTTTATCGCCTCTTTATGTTAATTGCCTGAGCCCGGGCTTCAAAGTCAGAGCCTTCCCTGCTTCACCCCCTCAACCGGCTGTTCGAGCTCATCAATCAAGACGGCGGGGAACTTAGATGATTCATCAGAGTATGCCGGGTATGTCTTTGCCAAAGGGCAGCTCCTTTCTAATAGATCAATCTCAGGGGAAAACAAGAAGAGAATCAGACCTTCGGTAAAGGTAAAGTAAGAAATTGTTTAACGAAAGGAAGTAAGACTCTGGTACTATACTAAAGGAGCTGTCTAGCTATGGAACTAGCTATAAGAAGTAGGTCACCGGATATTAGCCTTAGCACGATAAGCGAACGGGGCTAGCCCGGCCAGCTACACTTCCGCTTCAGTAATACGTTTGTTTGATCTGGTCTTTGAGAAAGTCAAAAGAAGAGTTTGATCCCGGCTCAGCCAATCTTCTTAGCGGACTCTTTCACCGTTGTGAGTGAGATATCCCCCTAGTACTTGACCCGCTGCCTTTCTTTATTTCATTCCGCCCTATCCTCTTGTCTAGGGCCCCAGCAAGGGCTCTTCTTCCCTTGGGATTGACTGCAGCTACCTCGAGGGCACTAAGTAAGACTGCAAGCAACTAAAGGCTCTGCCCTGGCTTCCTTTCTGTAAGGGAGCTATAGCAAGCAGATACAAAAGCAAGAAGAGCTAAAATACACCAAAAATACACCCACCATAAAGGAAAAATGTGGGGGACATTTTTCACAGGCTCTGACCTCTGTCCCCCTCCGTGGGCTTCTATACTCCTCGGGCTTTCTTGACTTCATTTCGCTTCGCTTCATTCGTTGGGGTGCTCTCCTATCTTTTGATTAGGAAAGCGCCACTCGTAGTATGTTGACGCTATCCATCCTTCCAGCGCATGCTACGTCTTTGTTGGTTAATCCAAGCTTATTATCATTTCTTAGGCCCCAAGCCGAGCTCTCACACGTTCCGAACATGAGACTTCTGGAACCCGACGACCCATCGTTCGTACCCGGCTCTCACCTTGATTCCCATTTGGTTGATGAAGGCGAAGTTGATTCCCATATTCTTAAAGGGCGCTTTATCTTCGACGTTCTATTCTACTGTTATATATGGACTTAAAATGGTCAAAGGAGAACAAAGTGAGTCGCGACGTCAAGGAGAGGAAAGGTGTAATTGAGGCTCCAGACTGATTGCCTGTACCGGTCTCCCTCACTAGGTCCGGCTATCCTCGGATCGTCTTTCCATAGAATCATGATATAGAAGAAAGCCTATCTCTTAAGGCGGGCGGTTCAGATTGACCTTTCGTTCTCTTCCTGTATTAAACTAGCCAAGAAGGTAACCCACGGAGCGGTTTTGATGATATGATCCGTCTTTGGGATGATCCTGAGGTTCGATGCAATTGACTCGCCTGATTCAGCCCCGATTCGAAATCAGGAACAACAGCCGGGGGACGCCTCTTCTTCTCAACTCGCACCCATTTGGTTCTATGACTTCACTTCGCTTCGTTCTTTGAGTCTCACTTTGCTCTCCTTGGAATTCTGCATGCTAAAACGTGCCAGGACAATATCTATGTATGAAGCTTAGGATAAGCAGAGCATCTTTTTTCTTGCGATCCTTTAGAACTTTGATCCCAAGAATATGTGCTGCTTCTCCTAAGTCCTTCATATCAAACTGCTTGGATAACCATACCTTTACGTTCGACAACACCTTCACACCGTTGCCAATGAGAAGTACGTCATCAACGAATAGTATAAGAAATACCACCACGTTTCTGTCGCACTTCTTATACACACACTGCTTATCCGGACTCTGAGTAAATCCATAAGACTGGATAATATCATCGAATCAGATATTCCAAGATAAAATGACTGATCAAGTCCATAAATGGACTTCTTCAGCTTACAAACCAGGTGCTCTCGGCCTTTAGTAATAAAACCCTCTGGTTGCCTCATATAGATGTTTTCCTCAAGACTTCCGTTAAGGAAAGCTGTCTTGACATCCAGCTCTTACCGCGCCTTATGCTATTGATATTCTAAAAGATGCGGGAGAAGAGTTAGCAAGGCAGTTAGACTAGCTACTAACTATCTCACGCTCTCTCTAAAACCCAGCGGGCACATCCAATTGCAAAAGTATAATGATTATTCAGGAGACATTTCTTTTCGTACAAGCTTAAGCTTAATAGCTTCCCCATAAGGAATGAGAGGATACTTTTAAACCGTCATGCCTTTCTGTAGACAGAGATCTTACTGCTACCTCAGAGTCTGACAGTCTAGTCTTCTAGGCTTTTAGCTTTGAGGTCAATTATATCGAGCCTTCGTGCCCTATTCCTATTTAGCTTTCTTTTAGTTACCGTCCTTGGAAGACTCCTTTGTGAGTTCGCGGCCCTATATCCAATTTCATTTTCCCTGCTTTCGGTACCCTACCGAGGACTGATCTGATCCCTGTAAGGAGTTTGGATTCCAGAGAAGTCCAGTAAGTAGGCCCAACTCCGGAAAGAATGGCAGGGTAAGAGAAAGAGAAGCAAGATTATGCTAATTATTCTATGCTCGCCTAAGCCCAAATAAGCACGTCCCCTTTGTGCCTCGCAGCAAGTTTAGGGGTGCAAGCTGATCGAAGGTACCATCCATTGGTATCCTCTTCAAAACAGCAGCACACCATTCATGCATTGGAGCCAACAATCGCTGTTTGACATAGAACAAACAGACGACGCTTCCCATCTCCCGAACACGTAGCACATAGTCTACCAGTTATGGCCGGAACTCCCAACGGATCAGGTGTGGGTAGTAACGGACCTATCCTCTTTTCAAACCACTCTTCACTCCACTGTGTGAAGTACTTGTTTAGCTTGTCAAAAGGATACCTAGTAAAAGGCATCCACAAACAGCCCGGTGAGTAATGCTCGTACCCTGCGTGAACATAGTTCATCCGGAATGCGAATGCACTCAACTCATAGGGAAGACTAAGAAAGACAGACTGACGAGACGCCCACATAAGAAGGTATCGGAAAGGCTTATAGCGAGCTGGTCGGGGGGTAATAATATTTACCAACAATGGTGCATGGTCCGAACGACCCCTGTGCAAATGTGACAGAGAGGTAATTAGCGAACCTTCCACCCAATGCTTTTTATATAGGACTCGATCAAGGCGTTGCCATAGAGAACCGTTAGTCCAAGTGTAGTTTGCTCCAGTGAAACCTGCATCAACAAGATCACATGCTCCAATTACCTCAAACAAGTATTAAATCTTAGTATTTTAAGATTTGATCTTAGCATTTATTTGATTCCATCCATAAATCGATTTTCTTCCCTATGAGTTCTAGTTTCAATAAGAATGCTAGTTCTTACTGTTCATATATTATGGCGCTTTTAGTCTTTCTTGCGCAGCTAAGTCAATAGAAGTTTCTACGTGAAAGCTCAGTTTATCCAATCGCATATTAATACCAGAAGATTCTTATAGACTAGAATCATGTCACGAGCAGGATTCGAACCTGCATCTGAAGCTGATGAGGCTTACGAATTGACCAATTACTCTACCCCCATATATTATCCTATAAGAAGAATGTTTTACCCAATCTCCACTTCAATTGCCGGAAGAGCCCCTTACTCCCCCCGTAGAGGTCAATTATATCGAGCCTCAACCATTGTGCCAAGCTGGGGGGTTGGTTTCCCTCTAAGTACAGCTAAGTAACTAAAGCCTCTTCCTTGAGCGATCTCCTTGGCTCGTTGATCGGAACCAATGCCAAATGTCCAGGTTTTTCAATCCCATGACCGGTGAGCTATCCAACCCATGCTGTCACAAAAGAGAACCAAACAAACTTTTCGAAGCGCAGTGAAGTCAGAAGTAGCGGGTCTTTAGAGCGGATTCCTGAAGAATAACAAACAATAAGTAAGATGGTAAAGGAGAAAGCGCGGAGTAGATCGTTCTACTTTGTAACCCAAGTAGTGGGTTCGTTTCTCTATGGCTACGGACTGCTTTCTTAAGTTAGTTCCTTTCTTTTCTTTCTTGCTTGGCTTCGCTTGCTCTACCTACTGCAGTCCCTTTCTTTTCATAGCCTTATTTACCTGGTTTAGAAAGACTGGTTCGAAAGGACCAGGAAAGATCAGCTGTTCGCTCTTCTTCAAGGAGTGAGGGAGCAATGACATCGTACCGTACCCCTACCTATGCAAGATTGAAAGCAGAACTGAAACAGGTTTCTTTCCACTGGCATTCCATTCAATGCTAGGCAAGTCATACTGGGAATGGGAATGCTTAGCGTTAGCGGCAAGAAAGAAATTCGGGCAGAGAAGCATGGCAAAGAAGTAGCTTAAAGCAAGAAATCCACTTCCCTAGCCTGGTGGGAGATCTGGTACCAAGTAGTCAGAAGAAAGACAGATGCCGGGTGTTTTTCCCAAGGTACGAAACAGAGGAGACTCCCCGGCCTATAAGACACGGAACACCTAGCCAATCTCGGACATGCGACAAGAGAGGGCTCCCTAATTATGCTTCCGGATTGACTTCTTTAGGAGTTTTTCCCGCACCGATCTTACTTATTTAGAAAGCTAGAACGGAGAGGGAACAAACGGTTAAATATGGTTTGCTGGTACAGAATCCGTTGCTATTGGACTTGGCAAGTAAGCCCAGAAGAAAGAGGGATTAAGTGGAACAGAATTGAATAGATGTGGATTAGAGGAAATTCGACCTTCTTTTGCTATCTTCTTCTTCTTTCTATAGACCGATCTGAATTACATCCATCCTTTATTCTTTCTTTTTCTTTAGCTTTATTTGTGTTAAGCATCTAACAAAGATCCAATTTCTTTCTTCAAACAAAAGTACTAAACCAGACGTTTACCTGCTTTGCGGGCTCAAAATGATACCACTCATGGCTAAGCTTATTGGCTCGCTAGCCTTTCCTTCTTCAAGAATCAAAAGAAATGAAATTAGACTCGAACTTCTTCTCTTACGATATTTCTTCTCATTCAGCTTTGAACCTTTTCCTTTCTAACTTTCTAAAAGGAAGGCCCTCGTATTACGCCACAGTAGCTTCGGTCAACGTGAGAGTTGAAGACTAAGGCGGCCGTTTCACTCTGTTAACCTCTACCTGAACTTCGTCCATCCTCTTTCTCCTTCCTCTCACTAATGTTCGACCCTTCACTACACGTCTCTTTGCTTTCTATCTCTTACAGACAGAATCAATTCCTTTTGATTTTAGAGGATCCCTCTTTCTCGCTCAAAAAGAGCTCGGAACCTAGCCCGAGAGAGAAAAGCGTGCATTACGAGTACTGCCCAGATCTTCTCAATACAAGATCGAAAAGGAGGGGAAAGAGAAATGGTTGCTAAAAGTGGTTATGAGAAAGAGGAACCCGCGTCGAAAGGGTGTAGTTCTTGCGTCTACCTCCGTTCATTCATTCCTGGCCAACGGGCGGGGAAAGCATTGATTTGGTTCCATCAGCTAACGCCACTTCGAGCGGAAGAGAATAGTTTAACGGCATGGTATGGGGACGCCGACTAGCTGCTGACTCTGCTAGCAGCTTTCTTGTTGATCTCTATTCCTCCTCGTACATGTTGTATGTTACTTGCTTGAACTAGTAGCGGGGCTATCCACTTTTCTGTCCCAAAAAGGGCTCGTTTTTCTTCCCACTGTGAGTGCTTTCCCGGTTCTGGGATGTCTTTCCTTCTTATTGCGTATATAATCAGGTTGGGAGTGTTGATGAGGGCTTTGGCCCGGCTGGAAGACGTCGAGGGGTCCCCCGCAGATTCACTAATATCTGAACTGGGAAGAAAGCTTGCTTACCGTGATTTTGAGTATCAAGTCTGTGCTCTGACACTTTTTTCTTTATCGGCAAAAAGAGTCTCAACTCGGTCTTCTGCTCTAAAGGGAGAGGCAAAAACAGAGTCTTATCTCTTCGCCTCAGGGAAAGTATAAAAAGGGTCCTCCCCAAGACCTGCTCTAGGACTGCTAATGCCTGATTCTAGGTCAACGTATCTTCCCCCTACATTCCTTCTTCAACAAAGTACCCAGGGCTCTATTGATGAATGAAAGAAAGGGATCAATTGTGACCGAAGCTCTCCCGTTTCTGATCTGGGCAAGGTAGGTGGGGATAAGAAGGGCTTTTTTCAGGCAAGCCAATTTCCGGAAAGGGGGGGTATTCTTTCTTTTCAAGAGGGGATGCTGCGGAAAGGGACTTGACTTCGTCAATCGGTATGGTATGGGCGACTTCCCGGCGCGACTATACTAGCATTCCCTGCCGCTAAAAGAGCGCATTTTAAGTAGCCGAAGTAGCAAGTCTCACTATGGAACGCGTATTGGTATTGAATTCTCCAAGGAGTCATTCGGCCCTATATAGAAGTGCCTGTGAGTTAAGATCCTTGCTAAGGTGTCCTTTCAGTAGAAAGGTTATGAGTCGAAATAGACCCCCGCGCAGGTAGCCTTTGTCGATATACCGGAGGCGCTATAAGCCCTATTTACCTTCCCTTTGAGCAGGACCATATCTGGTTAACTCATTCTATCTTTTACTTAGAGAGTGATAAGACCTTCATTCTTCCCTTCTCGGGCCGGCTACTCTTTTCTTTTTCATGTTTTGGGATGCCTCTAACTCCACCCGTCTATCTGTAACCGGTCACTTGTGAAGAGCTTCATATTATTTCATTTCGTAGGCCCCTATAATAAGAGGGCACTGCGATAGATATCGATCCCCACTACTCGCAGTCATAACCAAAAAAGACTATTGCCCCGCCGAATGCCCACATCTGGAAACTCCACTTCCGGTTGACCATTCTAAATATAAAGTGAAGGCAATTAACATCGCGCCTTAGCGACTAAAGCAGGTCAGCATTACCTTTTCGAGCTACCCCCTACCCCCACTTAACCATACTCAGCGTGCACCTGGTCTTCGAGCATCCCCATAAAAAGAGGAAGAGTAACCCCCTAAATACCCTAAAAGTCTTCTCTCGGTTCCGAAGTAGCAAGTCTAAGGCCGGGTAAGCGCCCCGTACTGTAAACACTCATAACTCAGAAAAGTCTTAAATCAATTACCGCCCTTACCGCTCTTTACGATGATGCGCTTTCCTACCGCCAATGAAACCTTTATATCTCATTCTATGATCTTCTACTCCCCTTAGACATCTACTTAAGTGTGCCTTGTCATTCCTCAGTAAAATGACATGCCCCCAACCGATCGCATATATAGACGAAGAAGGCCCAATCGCCTTAAGAAAGCCACTCCAAAGTCCATAACTTTTTGTCATATACCGACAAATCCTTTCTGCCTACCCTGCTCTAAACTGAGGATTTACTGGCTTTCCTATACTCTCGATCGGAGTAGCCTTTTTGAGAGTGATCCTTCCTATTTCGTTAATCTTTGCTTCGACGAAAGAGCATATATATAAAGAGAAAGTAAAGTCTTATGGAAGCACTGGAAAAGAGTTCCACTATTATCATCCGCTGATCGGGATATCTTCTTTCCTACGAGTAGCGCTTTCGGATGAGCGAATAAATAAGGAGAAAGAGAGTGCAAGATCATCTACTCAGAAACTTCTGTGTGTAAAGTCGAAGCATTTGACTCTCCCAACTCGCCCTTCTTAAGAAACTATCTAGTCATATAACGAAAAGACAAAAAGGAAGAATAATATATTGGATCATAGTAGCTATTTGAAAGGCCCCGGTAGCACTAGATTCTGATTGGTTCACTATCTAGTAGTAAGTGCTTTGGCCGGATAGATCTTATTGCACGTCTCTTACGCTATTTCGAATGGTTCAACTTGGGTCGACTGGACGGTCCACTGCAAAGTCGCTTGGCCTTCTTATATGATATGGAAGGAATTCAACTTCTTAGAATCCAGAATTGGCTCTTCAAGACCTAGCCTAGAAGATCTCAATCGTAGAAATCTCATCCATTATCTAGGTGTAGAATGACACTGGTTTTTTTGAACTAACTTTAGCCCCTATGTGAGTAGGAATTTGCAACTTGAGAATGCTATTTTAGGGCAGAAAGAGGGTTTGTAAAAGGTCTTGGTATACGAGATCGATTTTCTCGATATCAAGTGCATTAAGTTTTATGGTAAATCCTTTTCCAGACCGCTTGCTGGCTGTGTAGATTCATGTCATTTCGTAGGGCCCTATATATACCCTGAGAGGTCAGAAAAAAATACGTGGAGGTCGGGGTTTCAGTTTAGGAAATGCAAAAGATGCCATGTAGATTGATCGGCGAAAACCAGGCGGATGCCTTTCCTATATAGGAAGTCAAATTGGATTCATTTCTATTTCTTCTTGAAGGCAAGGACGCTTACACGACTGCCTATCCAACCAACTTCTCTTCTTCAAGCATACCGGTTCAAGGCGCTATAAGCGCTCTCACGCCTCATTCACTCCTTAACTCAAGGTTTTCGTCGGCTTATAGCTCGGGTGGCTTTAGTCCGACTAGGACGTCTTTGGATATCTAATGTATTAGCCAAGTGGATGGTTCAGGCTTTGTTAGAGATACCGCCGCTTTCTCCCGATCCCCACTATTCTGGTCCAACTTTAGGCGAACGAAGTCTGATAGCTCAAAGAGCCTGTCGCATATGAACTATGAGTTCTCTTTTATAGATTCAATCTTCAGTAGACCGGAGAATAGGAGGAGCTCTCTGACGCATTGCTTTCTTGCTTGAGCTACAATCTATCTCTAAATTGGCCTCTCGGTTTGCGTCGCATCGATTACATATGAATGAAGCTCTGGTAATAGAGTTAAATAAATGTACCGCCAGCCAGATTATGACGTAAGGGGAGAGGAAGCTTTGTTTAAGAAATAGGGGCTCTTGTTAACGATAAAGGGAAGAGTACCTAACCGACCTTCGAAAAAAAGGGCAATTACATTACGCCTCCCTTCTCCGCCTTGATTAATTACATAGTTTGAAACCTAAACAAAGAATAAAAGCGAACTGGGGGAAAGAATGACTCGGAAGTGAAAGCCCTGTTCGGAAAGATGGATTTGTCTATTTATTGGACCCGTCGGGACTGGCCGGGGCTCGCAGCCACAGCTTACGCCTTGACAGGGCGGTGTTCTAACCGATTGAACGTAAACCCCGGGGCGATCTATGGAAGATGAGTTCCAATCGTGGGTTAAATCTGGGAACAAAGTACACTCATTCTAAACATGAACTACAGTAATCCAAAAGGTAAAGATAATGGACAGCATACAAAGTATATGCATTAGGTAAAGGGGGAGAAAGGAGTTTCCATTTTATATAAGGTTTCGCTGAGGGGTGAAGCCCTAAATTGCATAGAGAAAGTTGCATCTCTTTCAGTTGTCCTAGCTCCTTACCCCAGCTTACCAAAGCGCTATTCTAAGCCCTAAGATGGATGAAGTAAGGATTCTAAGCAGGTGCTATTCCCTGAATAAGACTTTTCAAGAGAAAGAAAAAGATAAGAACCAAGTTTCAATAATAGAGATGGACTACTTGGGATAAGCAGAGTTCTTAGGGAACCATCTGCTTTGTCTCGAATCCGAAGCTCATAAGAAAGAGAAAAAGAAGGAGAGAACAAAGAAAGACTCTATACAGAAATAGTGGCTCTTCAAGACCTTCTCTTCTGACAATGGACAGGAGCATTCCAGATTCAAGTAGAAAGGAGATAGACTTTCTTCTAATGTGATCCATAAATAGGCTTTGCGAAGAGAATTTGTACCACTCTACCACTTATTGGTCACTTGCATCTTCACCCTCGGGTACCTGCTTCGCTAGACCTCCCGAAGCGACGGGAAAACGTTCAGAAAAGGATAAGGCTCTGCAAGACCTCCTTGTGGTATGACCTTCGGAGATGGTTCAAGACGCGTTTCAAGCCATTCTTTTTCTCATTCTCTTGCTTTTCTTCTTGCACTAGCGATTGTCTTTTCTTTGAAGACTGAATTTGCATTCTTAGTCGACAAGATCTCGCCTATTAAGACTTGGGGCTGGTGGATTCTTTTCTAACGCAATTTCGAATGCTTGAATGGCTTTTATATCATCTATATCCAATCCTGCTAGTCAACCATTTCTATTAATAATGCTCGAGAGACCTCGCGTAGAAGACGCAGAGGGAAGAGACCAAGTTCAAAGCATAGGACGTGGGACCAAGGGAATATTATTCGAAAGAATGGGCGCAGACTATACACAAGAACTCTTTTGATCCAATGCCGCTGGTCACCTAAATAGCCTAGGTAATCTACGAGTGGTGGCTCGGCTAGAAGACTGATCTGCTGTCGTATGGGAATTCGAAGTCAAAGCCATAGAGGAAGTCGTGAAAGGGTGAAGACAGAAAGTCAAGGCATATTATCTACATCTACCAAGAGGAACCTTCCAGCATAAACAAATAGCAGAGCTGTAGGAGCGGAGGAGGCGGCTTCATGCCCTATCCCTCCATATCATGGACCCCTATCTAATAAAAACTGGTCGAACTATTGTCTAAAAGGGGCAGAGCGAGTTTTCAAAGCAAGAGTTCAGTTGTTAGCTAGAACGTCGGTCTACCCAATGTTTACGGTTCCAATCCTTGTGAGCGTGAAAGTCTGCGAAGTGAGCAATTCACTTAAGTCAAAAAAATCTCTTATATAGAGGACGGTCCAACCAATGAGGAGTTGGTGCATTGCAGCAGGTTCGAGACCTGAGGAAGCACTCTGCGGGGAAGGTCCAGGGGAACGAGGAAGGCAGAAAGAGGCAAGGCAAGCACTTTTCAAAAATGACAAAGCTAAGGAGACAGATAAAAAAGGATAAACCTTTACAAAGCCTTAAAGGCCTTACGCTCGGGCTTACCTTTTTTTTGGTAGTCCCTTCGCTATACTTAAACTCAAACTAATAATCAAAAGTCTAATGAGAGTGAATAGGGGAATTGACCATATAATCTATGTCAGGTGTGTCACATAGAATATTGTATAGTAATCTGCTTGTGCCAAAAGGATAGCTGAGGGCCGGTATCCCCTATAACAATAGGATTGCTCGATTGGGCCATTGCGCTAAGGGATTTATAAAAAGGTAAAGGCCGTCCTTCATTGTCGCTTTAGGGATTGTTCGTGCATAAGCGAGGCGCTCCCTTTTCCATCTCCCTGATGTTTTGATTTTGAAGCAGGTCAATGTAATCGAGCCTTTGCCCTGGAGGATTGGACCTTTTGTAATTAACCTTCCCCGAGTACGAATCGCTACGCTCTAGCTCGTAAAAGGCATAGCCCTCCTAAAGGGGATAGCGATAGGTCTAGGAATAGCATTTCTCTAGCGTACGTATAAGGGCTCGCGGTCGAGGGAAGGTATAGTTGAAGGTATGAGGATGAGGATTAGAATTTCATTCCATTGCTTTGTTATTTTACTTCACTGCGCTTCGCTTCTAAGTTGGGGAGAGGTAATTGACCTATTGGCTTTCTTGCATAAAAGACTCTCTAATGCATATTTGACTTCGCTACCTTACTCTAGTTTGATAAAGTGGAATTTTTGTCGATATTGTACTTTACTTGAAAGAGATCCTACATCGATAGTGATTCCTTCCTATAGAAGAGAGCTTGGAATGCTTTCTGCTTAAAAGAGGCTTTCTTTCCTTCAAGTGGAATATCACTTTCTTTTAGCTGAACTTCAGCCTTGGCGTCGCTCATTCTCAGCCCATGCGGATTCATTGTGACAGACAAGCAGCCAGAAGCAATATTCTAGGCAGGCTTAAGCCTTCATCTGCGAATCGAGCGAGCTCGTTCGTAGTGACTGAGGGGCGTGATAACTTGGGTACGAATACGCTCTATGACTTCACTTCGCTTCGCTTCTACCAAAAACTGCCTTAGCATAAGGGAATTTATGGGCGCGAAATCTCCATACTTGAGAAAAGTTCTGTCGGCTGAAAGGTCAGCTACTGCTTTCCTTTTTACCACGCGATAGGATAGAGAGCTGGTCAATTACATCTCAATTACATCGAACCTTGTGATTTGCTTAACACATAAGGATCGATTACATTGAGTTTTCTATTGCTAAGATGCCACCTTAGGGCCGAGCGCAATTGAAAGCGAAGTCTCATCACCTACATTACTACGGCCTCTTTTTTTCTTCGCTGGAGACGCTGAAAGCCCTACGAAAGGACTCGACATCAAACCCGGATGTAGTTTAGTTCTCAGAAAACTAAGAGCTTCGAAAATAATATAAGATATTACTTACCCCCCCCCGCAAAAAGGCTATTCCTTATTTATGATGGGGCCCTCGCTGGTGATCTCGGTCAGTTTCTTCTTCTTCTTCAAGAAGGGAAAAAAGACAAAGAACACAAAGGAGAAGGTCCATGCCTTCGACCCACCTTGCCAGCCAAGCCAGCCCCGGAAAAGAACTTATTATATAAAAAAGTAAGCTAAAAAAGAGGGGCACCAGGGTATGCTTTTTTTGGGGGAGATTGTTATGGAATACAAGATAGCCCCCAAGAGCTAACAAATGGAGATTCACGAAAATGAAGATTCCGTATGGAATCCCCCATAGCTTCTCCTGGGGAGGAGATGAAAGAAAAAAACCAGCTAAAATACTAATGAGAAAATAAACGATAAAGCACCACCCTAATTCCAATTTCGTTCGCTTCTTCAAACAAATATAAATAATGCAAGCGCCCGAGAACAGGATGGAAAGCTTTGCAGGTTGCAATAAATAGTTGCAATTATAGCGGAAAAAACCATAAAATAACATAAATGCCCCTACGCACAAAAAGTAGACAAACCGGGTCTTCGGGCAGGGCCTGGTCTTTTGCAAAAAGCAACGTTATTAAAAAGAAGAAAAATT